GTGTATATCGGAGGTTCGTTAGCGCGTTTCAATCATTTTCCGTTGAAAGGTGATTGTTTGCTTAATAGTCCTCTTTTAAGACGATTTGTTGTAATTGAATAGTGGTAACTGCATCCGACTGGCCTACAAATATATGCGCACATAAACGCTATAAGCTATTCATTCTGTTGAAACACTCACTAGACAACAAATAATACGTCTTCATAAAGAAAACTCGAAAAGTAGTTTCGAATTAGTCAAGCAAGGAATACTACAGTGCGGTCCTCTTCCAAGCAAGTCAGTGCTGTTGTTCGCGCCAGTCAGGGATCCGGAATGGAGTTAGATGCAACCAGGAAGCGAAACGGCCTTTGCGAGCTGTTTGTTTTGTTATCATTGGTGATAACTGTAAGAAGTGTGAATAGGGAGTTAAGCTTCCAAGGTAGCGGCTTTCACGTTTATTATATAACCGCTGGGAAGAGCCATGGAGACAGCAACGAAATCAAGTTGTGGTTTCGAACAAAACAGCTTGCTGGAATGTTGATGATGATTCAAAATGGCGGTGGTTCGCTCACGCTGATTGGGATATACGACGGAAAATTACGGTAAGTTAAGAATGTAATTATACTGTTATCTAAGTTCAGGAAATTGTCACGATTTTGTGTTCCTGGCGGTCCCTCGGTTGATGGAAATGCAAAGACAACACCCGTATCCGTATGTAGGGAAATCTTCTAGCTTGGGAGATTTGGCAGGCTCTTTAAGTCCATTATTCCAATAAAATTCGCTATCAACTTTAGCTCATTTTCTCGGATAGGCATTTTTTCAGCTAATGTTTGCATTCCTGTTTAGTTGCTAGTGACTCTCGGAAAGTTCATAGTTCGTAGTCACCGTTTTTCCGCTTGGCTGTCAAAGTACCAAATTTTCTCCCTAGCCTTCACCCACATACAGTTCGTGGAAAGAGGAATAAAAACGTATTGTTTCTTACACGTAGCGATTTTCCCTTCGCGATTAGTTCACACCTCCGAGGAACATTTTACTTTCGTCAGGAGCGTAAAGAAACTGGCGGCAAACTAACATTGCTCGCAGAATTTACCATGCTGGTTTGCTCGCAGTCTTCTACGGGCCGTGGAGCGTGCAATTTCGTTCAAGTCATTGAATTATTGCAGTAGGCATGCGTTTTTATCCCTAATTTATTCTTTTATCTTGCTTTCTATTTTAAAAGCAAACGAAGAGAATAAATTAGAGATAAAAAACACATGCCCAATGCACTAATTCTTGAAACTCCGATTTGGCTCATTGCACGCTATGTTCCAATACAGATTTTTCACATCTTGGTAAAACAAAAAATAACTTCCCAAATACATGTAAATGCAGGACAGTTCTGGCTAGGCCATTCATAATAATTCATCCCATGCCGGCATTGTGTTATCCACCCTTTGAACAACCTGGGCCAAAATAATACCTACACTTTTTCTCTTTTTTATAAGAATATACTTTATATGTATATCGAGACAGAAATTTGTCACTTATTTTAAGAATGAAACCGAGGGTAAGATTTTGAAAAGAATATAATTTTTGTGTTGAAAATTAATTTTGCAAGTACAATGCAGTTACAAGCTATTATATGTTTTTAACTAAACTATATAAAAATTTTTTCTTCCCTAAACGGCAAAACCAGCCAAAAAACACAAAACAGCACTATCTGTATGTTCGATCTAAAAACATGTTTTCAAGAAATTATTTGCGTCACATCAAGCTTTATTGCCTGCAGTCTGGCTCAAAAATCACTTCAACGCCATCAAAGTCATGATAGGACAGATAATCTGACGTTGTCTTTATCTCCCTGTAATCTAGGAATATGCCATGAATATTCACACCTAAAATCGGCAGAAAAATACGAATATTCAGCCTGGGCCGGAAAAACAATATTGTTATTAAAAAAGAGTGCATATGTATATGTCTATTCGGGTTGCTACGTTGGATCATTTCAAAGTTTTCCATACATTTTTCTCACCGTACAGTTCACTTTCCCTCGCTCCAACTTTGCCCACTCGGTCTATACGGTCCGGCTAAATATTTATATGTTGAAAACTAAAAACGCGATTTTACGCTTACTATAGCTCCATAACATTTGTAAATTTACACTGGTGGCACCGAACTTATTATGTCAGATTTCAGTTTTATTCAGTTACAAAAGGCTGCTAGAAGATCAATGTCACACGCTGAAGTGAAAATTGTAGACAATGATTAGTGATATACTATCCTAACTGGATATTGGACTTTTAAGCTTCGCAACCCGCTTGCGAGAACGTGTCTATTACAGGATTGTTACGGTTCCTCTGGTTTGAGCGTTTTGGGGCAGTTTCGCCTTTCGACAAAACCACCGTTCTTGAGAAATTTAAAAGTCAATGATCAACAGAATACTGGCTATCGACAATGCTCACAATTAAACAAGAGCTGCAACTGCAATCATTGTGGGACACTATGTATATCGATCGGACTGATTGTTAAAGTCTTTCAAACGTGTACGGCAATAATTTTGTTGATTTTGTTCTTGTCCACCGTTTGTGAAAAAGCAATAACACTTAAATGACGTATTTCTGGCGTTGAGCTTTTTAGAATGAGAAAAATCCACTTTTACTAGCGTGACGCAGCCGTACAAGAGACTTTATAAATTTGCATATCGGACCGTAATGAATGCAAGTCTGGCTTCGCTGACGGTCACGCAACTACGTTGTGTTACAGCAGCTGAAGAGCGATAACTTGAAAACCCTGATCTTGAAAGAATTTGGCCTCAAGCGATAATGAATAAATGAATCAAATTTCTATCATTGTGTGTCGCAGAGTACAAATTTGAAGATAGCAAAATATGGCAATGTGCGCATGCGTATGTGCCTTGGCCATCAAATCACACATATGCCAGTGATAAGTTTCAAACAAGTCAGTTTGGGAATTACAACACCGTCGTCTTACTTTCTCTGAATTAAAGAATAAAAGCATGAACAGGATTCGAAATGAAAATCTCTAAAATAATGAAAATTGACTGACGTAATTATGTACCATATTGATGCAATAATTGGCTGCCTCAAGTTGTTTATTATGACATAATGTGTTCAGCTTTGCGCAGTGGCATTACCGTAGCCAGTGAGGTTCATCCGAGGCGCGGTTATTGCTGATTGAAAACTTTTCCCAATACCCCGCAAGACGGCTTGAAATACAGCCGGCTTTGCAATTTTTGTCGGTCCATACGTGGACCTTATAATCTAAAAGAAGAACTTCCCGAAGACCAAGATGCTAACAATGCCGTTTCATCTCAGATAATCCGGGTAGACAGTAGCCATTCATCATAGACCGCTACGAGAAATGATTTTTCACAGCAAAAATCTCTGCATTGATATTGACGAATGAAACTTAGCACTAATGGTGTTACACACACAGGTCATTGCCCGTCTGTGAGCCGAGACGACAAGTTGATAAGAGGTTTTCCGCCGTGTGCAGTTTTTGGCTCTCGATCGTCAGGTGAATGTGCTATGAGACGTGATTTTCGCCAAGCTATTACTTTCAATTTACCGCAAGGGTTCGAATCTCTAGAAAGCATTTTCTTTTCTGATAAAGATAACGATGCTTATCAGCCTCTCGCTGACATATTTATTGAAATCACTGGCGGGAGTAGATTTGTTTCATCACGACTCTGATTATCAGATTGTATGCGAGTTATATTTCTTCGTGTTTCGCTTGGCTGACACATATCTGCCGCCATTTTGAGATACAGTACAGTGTCAAGGCTGGGATAAGTCGGAATTCAGGCTTGTCTTGCATGTGAAGTCGTAGATTTTCCGCAAACGATTGAAATATCGAAAATTCAGTAGTATCGACGTTCTCGGCGATAGCTCCGGCGTCGTCGACAACTTTTGCCTTAGGATGTTACGTAAAGCGCCACCAACAAACTTCTCAATTCGCAGATTCAGTACTATTATGAGTGTTGCTTTTCAAAAACACTCCTACATGTGGAATTAAACATTTTCATCAAAACGTGTTCTCTGCCTCATAACTTATTCAAGGTTCTTTTGCTGGTCGTCGGTGACGTGATTATCCAATTTGAAGTGATATTTTGATGCACATGGCTCAAGGCTAATACTCTTTCAGTTCTCAGACATATGTTTCATCCGCTTACATATTGTCTATCGTTAAATGCAGTTCTATGAACACGCAGCACTTACAACTCACGGAGGAAATTATCGGCTTCAGGCGATGCCGAAAGATTTAAAATTCCACGCAATCTAAACTAAAAGCTGAAACAAACTAAACTAAAAGCTGGAACACGCTTCAGTAACTTTCTCCCCGCGAGAAATGCCATCTTTTTTGGCCCTTGAGAAGTTGCTATCAACACCCACGTTGCGCGTTCTAGTGTTTTCGGAAACTTTGCTAAAAACTAACAATGTATGATTGAGCCTTCTGCTTGAATTTCAACGAATCCAGACGAAACATTTCAACACAAACTAAGCGCATGTTGTAGCTGGTTATGCAAATGAGTTATAAAATTTTAATCGGCTGGAAAATTTGCATGAGACCAAAAGAGTTCTTTGACTTCTTATTGAGGACGCGGTTAACCGTGGATAATAACATGTTTACAAGAAACATCGACAAAATAAGACTTTCCATTTCTGCTCTGAGTTTGCTTGGCGTTTCAGAGTTCCTTTACAGCTTTCCATCAGCACAAAACAGGAAAAGTTGAATAAACCTTTCAGTTTTTTTCCCACAGAAACTAATTGTCTGAAAAGCTTCCGTTTTCCCAAACTGTGACGATGATGCTTAAAGATAGATTTTTTTTTTTGACATGATTAACATAACACAAGTTAAGAAAGTCAGGGCTTTGTTTGGAGTCGACTGCCACGTGCCATACATAAGCAATGTTGCTTTTAAATCTTTTCACGAAACATCAATTGAAAACGGGTGCTGCATTGGAAAAAACTGTTTCCTGTCAATAACCACCGACAAAACCCACAAAAGAAACTGCACAATAATAACTTTATATAACTGAGAGATTTTTATTTTACACATACTTCTATATTACATCTTCTGCTTATCTTACAAATATAATTTTCTTATAAAATATACATATCTACAGAGTGCTCCGCGCCAATTTACATTCCATTAATTAATTTTTGAAGCAGATTGATTGAGCTTGATTCCAAGCTGAAATTCTAATTTTGACATTATCTTCGCCAAATGTATCAACATGATCTAAGTGATCTCCGAAGCGCCAAATAATCATTTTACATAATTCATTATTAAACGAAAGCAAGAGCAAGAACCAAAACACCTTGTTCGGTCTTTTGTCCCTGAAATTGTCACAAAGTTCAATTTTCAAACATTAAATTCGACAGAAAATCGAAGGGTTTTGAATCGGCAATTTTTCTCCGAACCGTTTGATGTAAGACACGATACTGAAGCTCTTCTTTGCAACACTGTTATTGTTGTTGCCGTTGTTGAAGCGGTTCAAACTCTTGCTTTTTGCGTTCTCTCGCAATTGTTCAGCTAGTTCTGTGAAAAGAGTTTCAATGTTATCGTCCCACTTCGCGGACGTTTCAATGTACAGCAAGTCTTCGAACTCCGCGAGGTTCGCAGCAGATCTAGAATTTACCATGCGCTTAGCGCCTTTCAAGTCCGTTTTGTTCCCGACGAGAACTTTGACCGCGTTCTTCGAAGTGTAACGCTGTACATCCATAAGCCACTGAGGTATGCTGGCGAACGAGCCTCGATTCGTAAGGTCAAATACCATGATAACAGCATCTGCATTTCTGTAGTAGCTCTGTGTGATCGAGCGATATTTTTCTTGTCCGGCTGTGTCCCAGCACTGAAGTTTCACCTTGTCGCCGTGAATGTTCAAAATCCTTGAATCCAAATCGACGCCGACTGTCGAAGTGATATTCTCGGCGAAGTATCCTCTGGTAAATCTTCTGATCAAAGATGTTTTTCCAACACCCACGTCTCCGATTACTAAAATTTTGAACAAATATTTGAAGTCGTCTCTAGACATATCTTCCATGGTTTTTTTTTTCAGCAAATCTTCTCAGTGTTCTGGTCTCTCAGCTGTGCGTTCTGCCCGAGTAAAGAGTAAAACTGAAAAGGAAGTCCATGCGCTCTCCTTTTATATACGGCCCTGCCCAGCGGTAGGCTCAGCTTAAAGGGTGTTCACCGTTGCGTGGTTATTGTTTCTATTCAAAGCGCGCAATTTCCTTTCGCCGCTCATTTGACACATTGTAAATGCATTATTCTTTTACATGAAAGAAACACAAAGCTTTGTGTCGAGTCCCTCGAGGAATTACTTGTTTGCCAACAAAAAAGGAGGCGCGTGCCACACACGATATTGCTCAAAACATATGTTTATTTCTTGCACCTGCCTCGCGAGCCGTTCGCGTGCCAGACTAAACAATACAGTAGGCCACGTGACCCATTACACGCACTCGAAGGCACGTGTATTTTGTGACGCCGGGCGAGTTGGGCTGAGGCTGCAGCGAATCGACCACGAGAAGTTGTTTACATTTTGATTTTATTGAGATCGATGCTGATTATGGCTTCGCGCAAATTCTGGGATTGTAGATAGCGCCGTAAAGAGTTCAAGGCATTTATAGACGCTTGCTGTCTCTACTGGACAAGTTTGAAGTCATGTGGCTCAGTTTTATGAGCTAAACAATGGCTTTTACTTCTAACGACGCTACGTCTAGTTCTTTTGAGCGTTTATCGGGGCCCAGCAACCATACAATCACGCTTGCCGAGCGAGATTTGACCTTTTCAAAATGAAAGCGTTCAATTTTTTTCCGGTGTTAAGAAAGCTGCTTTATTCAATGTTTCCTTTTACAAAGTAATCGTCGCGACTAGTGTTACAAAAGGTTCGCAAATCTTAAATTGGAAAGAATAAGGCACCTGGTGAATGTGAAGAAAGACGTTTTACGAACAAAGGCTTAGATTGTGATAAAAAATACTCTTTGTTCGACACCAGAACTAATTTACTAGCTTGATTGATTATCCACGCGCGTATTTTCCGATTTATACATAATTTTAGCGTCGTTTTGCGATTTTTTGTTCTTAACTAAAATTTACTGTTAAGTGCCGCAGAAGCTTCCTATGTTTAAAAAGAGCTTTGAGTGTTTCTTGTGAATATGATCGTTATAGAATATAGGGGACATTATTCTATCTTTGTCTTTGTTTTCTAAATACTCTTTGTTAGTGTATTTCGAAAGTTCCATTCTTTTTCATCATCGACAGACCGTTTTTGTGTTATTTTAACTGTTGCCGTGTTTCGTACTGGTAGTATAAGGCACTTTGGTTTGGAGGACGAAACGATATTTTCTTAAAGAAGTCGCACGCTTTTCGCAATACCGGAGTTTGGTGGTGCCATGCACTGACATCTGCCTCAAACAAGTTGAGACAGGTTTTCTTACAGCCAGCCTACCTGTATAAATGTTGATTCAGGCATATTATTTAAACCTTTCCGCACATCGCACAAAGTTACACGTACTTGACAATTGCGCGCGGTCTGTACCGTTGTTGTTATGATGTTATTCACCGAGCAGAGAGTGTGTTTGATATCTGCAAGTCTGTATAATAGATTTATCTTCAACTGATTTTATCCAACGGTCCTTCAATGGGCTTCCGCACGTGGCTCTGTTTGCGTTTGGCGAATCGCAGTGTCTTTCATTGAACAAGCTACTGTTCTCGCCAAATGCTGTTTACTGTTATGATCACTCTTTTGATTAATCTAGAAAATAGAAACGCATGCTGCTCGGGTGTTCTAGCAGTAATTGCTATGTTTTTGCGTACCTTGCTTAAAAGTGCCGTGATTACAAACTGAAAATCTATCCACAGGAGAACTGGGAGTGAACGGAAGGTCCGGAAGGAAATGTAGTTGCGTTAAGTGAAAAAGGGAAAATTTTCTTTCAGTGAAGGAAACTTGGAAACTTCCTTCATTTTTTGGCCATTACCTTTGGGTTAATTTACCAAAGCTGGAAGATATTAATGAATAAAGGCTCGATTCTCAGGTCCATTGTCAATTAATTATTAAGAAAACATATTCAAGCAATATTAAACACATGAGGAAGAAAATTAAATGTTTCATGTATTTATTGTACAGATATGGATGTTTAATATTCCTTGAGCTCCAATTCCTCCAATTTTTCGTTTAGCCGCTCAGAGACAAATTCATGTTGTAAATACATAATTGCAAGGTTTATTACGAGTCAGTCGCCCATTGTGTGACGCAAGGAAATTCAATCATTATGACTCTATATGGTATCTCATTGCTACACCGTATTTATTTAATATGCTTTCATTAAAAACGTAGCCCATAGATGGAGAGGTTAAGTAAGTTGCAACATGATGTGTAATCTATAGCTTTCTTCCGTGTCAAAATGATCATACGTGAAGTTAAGTTACAGGCACGGCGACTTCCCTTTCGTCAATCGATCGCGTGGGCGGCTGGGTGTGAATACTGACTCTACCAACGCAATTTGCTTGTTTATTTTAAGGGTCGAGCGGAACCTCCGGCAATTTTAGGAACGCATGTTCGATATTCTGGATATTTCCAGAAACATTTATGAAACGGATGTATCTTGGTAGTTTCAGTAATTTTGTCTTGTATCAGATTCAGTAATTTTGTCTTGGCCCAACTCGTTTTGTTTTCTAAACTGAAAAAAAATAAGAAAGAAAGTGTAGCCAAAATAACTGAATTTGAAATTAATGGACTAAATTCGGGATATTTTAATTGACCTTTTCGTGATCAGATAGAGCGAAAATCACTGAAAAACGTCTTACTGCTTCTTTTACAGCGCGATATATTTTGAAGTTGGACGAAGGATTTTAAGGTCAATTTTATAATAAGAATTAGCATTATCGTTGATAAAACCTGGAAGGAGAATTTGCATCTCAGTTGAGAACCTGTCGGGTTTCGGTTGAATTAATAAGGACGGTGAATTTCGCTTTCAAGAGTGAAAAAACTTATTCAGCCATAAAGACCGGCAGATATGCTGAGTTGAACTTGGCAAAAACAGTTTCGTCCGAAAATCTTGCCAACATCCCTCAAAAGGACAACATAACACAATGTAACTCAACTGGTCGCGTCGATGTCCCCAAAATTCCTTTACACACGTGGAAAGTGAAGAAAAGACAACAAGTGAAATGTGTCTATTGGTATTTAACTATTTCATTGCAAGTTGCAACAATATGATTATTTTGAGGAAAAAAAACTACCGAAAAAACGTTTCAGCGTGTGGTCGTCTAAGCGAGTTAATTATTCTTCTATTTCTACAGGTACCATTGTTTTTTTTTGTTTTGTTTTTTTTTGCGATTAGACGAAACAAAATTTTCGTTACATGCAGGGAGATAAAAGCAAAAGCATTTCCAAGTTTGTCAAGGGTGCCACAAGGGTAACAATTGGAGTTTGAAGTGTTTAATTCATTTTGTTTTTGTTTTCAGATATAGGAGTGAAAAAGCGGTTTAATTACGTCGAGTCGCCATTGTCCGTCGTGATTTTCATTTTCAGTGTTGGCTGTATAATAGTTAGGAAGAAAGAAAAGCGATACATAATTTAAAGCATGCTCTTTTCGTCGGTAAGGTTGAATCTACAAGTATTCTTTGCTGAGGTAATTGCAACTGCGCTAAAAATGTTTCTTTAATAATATCTGAGTAACGTAAATATTTTGTTGACCAGTTATCAGCAGGTGCAAAGTTAAAAGGAATATAATATGTTCGTTTTCAACTAAACTGGTATCAGCAAGTTTTACCCTGGCCGAAAATAAAATTGCCGTGTTCAAGGAGGCTTATTGGGTGAAAAAATCAATTGCAACAGATCCAAACTTTGACATCGATGTGCCGGAGAATGTTCAACTCGGTAATACCAGTTTACTTGCTGGTTGCTTGAAACTGAGAATTTGAGAACTGTTTGTCTTTGTATGTACATGCCGATACATGACTAGTTTTGTTGTTACCTGTCAGTATTGTATGACAAAACTTGTTTTAAAATTTCCTTTCCTGCTGGTGGACTAGAAAGCCGACAGGTTTTCGGCTATGAGATGTACATTTGTTTATAATTTCATATCGCTTCGAAGAACCCTAAATTTCAAAAACTACCAGTCAGTTTGGCAAATATTGACCCGAAGTGCTGCGGATGGGTGTAAATGATTTCCCCACGTTGATTTAGTGCACAAAAACTGCTGTGACTAACTATTGTGCTCTTCCATTTGTCCTTTTGCTAATTTTGCTGTCATGCTAATTAAGTAGCTGGGCTTTGATAACAGTTAGAGCGGTTTAATATATATATATATATATATATTTTTTTTTCTTGTTTGAGTGTCGGAAAACCGAAACCAAACCAATTACTTAACAGCCAATCTCAAACCGTAGGTAAACCAAAACCAAAAAACAAAACCAAAACCAATGAAATTGCCTGATTACATGTCGACACTCAATTGAAAACCGCTCTATCAACGCTTGAGCATCCAGTCCGAGTTTTATCCCTGCCGTTTTCCAAGCAACACGGCAAATTAAATTGAACAAACTTTTTTTCTGGTTTAATTCTCGTAATACAGCAATGAATCTTTTTCGATCCTGGCCTTGTTGTTCATTTGGCATGCCCGATCGAGAAGTATCAACAAGAGGGAAATTAGATTTTTGTCCTTGACAAGCCTCTTGCAATGCTCCCCACGTGTTGTCGAGTTCAAGCAAATATAATGACGCTGGGCACAAAATTCTATTTTCATACTAAACTTCTGCCAAGCGTGCCGAAAATAGCCGAAAACAACAAACGCTAAAAAGTTTTTAATCGTTCATGGTGCGGCATCTTCAGCGCAGCTGGTGACAAGTTAAAACGACGCGAAACTCCGGCGTGGGCACTCAAGCCACGCGCCGCGCGCTCTTATGATTTGAATAATCTTTCAAAAGAAATTTCTCCCCAGGTCGTACAAGCCATTGTTGTTTTAAATGTTCAGCAGCGTGCCTTAATAAATCAGCTTTTGCGCAAAGCTCATTTGCTTATCTGGAGAAGAAATCTGTAGATAACGGATGTAACCAAGTGGCTTTACCCAATCACAGAGACTTAAAATATAGTTTTTTTTCTTGCAGAGGAATTTAGTTATTGTTTTTCAATTTCAGGTCATAGAACATTCTTTTACAGCCACAAGAAACCTGAATACCAGCTGTTTTGTTGGCTTTGATGTTTTTTTTTTTTTGCTTTTTTTTTCTTTTCTGTGGGCACATATCTCGAGCACAACGTCGAGAGTGGTGGGCCGGCAGGCTTTGGTTTGCATGACTGAAGAATCCAATTATGGCAGCGATGGCCACTTAGTCTTTTCCGACCATGAAGCGCCTTTTTGTTGTTTTTTTTCTCGGCATTATTTCGGATATATGCCGTCGGCATTTGAAGAAGGAGTCAGTATATCTTTTGATATGATGAGTCAAACGTTTAAACCAATTTATGGGGCTTGTGCTCATAAAATCGCATTTGGACAGTTTCATCTTAGATCGAGCTACTTTCGTCAAAAAAGCCGGATCGTTTTATGTCGAACATGTTCATATGTGCATTAGGTATCGCCAAAAATTAATTGCAGGCTCGCAAATAGAGTACACTGACAAACTAGAACCATAAGGTATAAATAAACAATAAAACTTGAAAGAATACTTACACTAGCAAATCGCTTTTTAATTAGTTAACTCACGAAAAACTAACTAAGAACTGACGCAAGCCTTCGGGTTTGCTGTAGGCGACTAGCAAACTCATTTTTTTTTTATCTTTTGCTCAATCGGGCGAAATTATCCGTTCCAAAGAAATTATTATCTCTTCTCCGACAATATACGTTTTCTTAAAGTCAGGCTTGGTTTTCGATAACCTGAAGATCTTTTGATTTGTTGTGAAAATAATTGGCGACGACAGTGTAGGTTGAAGCACGTGGCCGGGGGCGCTGAACCGAAACTAGGATAAATTAGAATTGCAATTGTCAGCCAGTGTTGGAAACAATATCAAGCTTTGCTTCATTGTTTCCGAGCACGCTTT